TATTGCTCTTTTGAAGAATAGTACACACTCGAACATCTGCTACTTGAGAAACGATCCTTTTTATTCGAATAGTAAAAGAAACAATCAATATTATTCAATTACTTTTTATTTTTTTTATCCTATTCATTTTCTGTTATTATTTGATAAAATTCATTTCTCAAATGTTAATAAACCGATAGTAATGGATTCTAAATCTCTTGTTGTTATGATTGGTCGTCTACGTCACTTTCGAATAATTCATTTTCTTATTGCACCGACAATAGACAATCATATTTATTTATTAAATTCAAAATTTAAGAATATTTTACTCTATACACTAGCTTTAGTAAACATTAAAAGATCATTGTTCTATTCAGTATGTTATATTTATTGCTATTTCATTACATATGTTCTTATTCTAATTATTATATTATTAATTTTAATAATTCAAAATCATCAACGAGATTTACATTTACCGATTCCACCATTAAATTTATCAATAAACTACTGTTTAATTATTCGTAGTTCAAATAGTCATTCATTCGATAAATTAATTCAAATAATTGAACAAGAATCGATTGGTTGGCCAAATGTTCATATTGCTATTTATAATTCATCTTTACAAGATGAAATTTTCTTTAATTACGATTATCCAATTATTCAAACATCATCGGATGATTATACATTAAATAGTTTACTTAATATTAATGCAAAATTTATAAATAGAAGTAAAGTGAATTTAGATTATTCTCTAGCATTAGAATATTGTTATTCAACTAAAATATCAATAAAATCAAAGTGTACAACGATAATGAAACCATTTGATTATACAATAACACTTGAAGAAAATGTTATATTAACAAAAAATATATTTCATAAAATCGAACAAACGGTGATGATGTACGGTATATGTCATCAATGGTTAGCATGGACATTATTTCATGATAATAATCATTTGTCTCATCAACTTTATAAACATGGAGATCGATATAAACATAAAATTCATAGGAAAGCTTTTATCTGGTGTAATTTACAATTACCAGCATTTATTGCCTACATCCGTTTGAAACATCGTCTACAGTCTTTTGATGATAATATAAGAAACTATATCGAACAATTTAGCTTCAAAATTTATGTAACAGTGCCAAACTTAGTAGAGGAAGTAAAAGAAGAAAATGTTATAATTAATGAAAAATTTATATTAAACCGAAAAAGAAACGATGGAAAATGTGCACTGATAATTATAATGAAACATCCTCTTCTCAACTTTTGATTCGATTTTTGTTGTACACTTTAATAAACAGCTGTGAATAATAACTTTGTGCACCTCTAAACATTGCTTTAAGAAGTGATGCATCATAACAATACAGGTTTACCTCTCTTAGTGAAACTTTAGGCTTTTTCTCAAATTTCTTTTGAATTTGCGGCTCTCATGTTACATAATAGTGGGCTGAACTGTGTAGAAGTACCCTGTTTATCTACTTGCTTCTTGTCTTTCTGGAACAACAAATTTATATTATAAATACATTATGAAGAGATACGCTGATGAATTTTATATTAATAAAAATGGAATCAGTCGGTAATCAATCGTTGAATGCAAACAAACCTTTCAATTGTCTTGGTGCTAGTGCTTTCCTAACAGCCGTTTCTTAGATATAGTCATAGTCTTTTTTAGAAGATTAGGTGTGTTGTGCATATAATCACCTACTCTTGCTGTTTCTGTCTTTCTGGAACAACAAATATTATTATATGTATTTAAATTGTGAATACTAGATGCGATGTGTTGTCATTGCTAAGATATTTTCTGTTCAAGTAGGCTCAGGTGACCAATTGCAGAGAAGGTAGAAATTTTGTTTGATGTTTCTTTCGCCCTATGCAATACTTTTTTTCAGCTGTCCCTCTTTTGTAAACACTTGTAGAATAGAGGAGTTTCTGTGTAAAGCTAAGGAGAATCTATCTTCTTTTGACTTTGAACATTTTTGTTCTATTCTCTCAGAGTGGCAAAGTTGTCCACTCTTATCTTCGCGTTTTTCTTTTGCAGAGAACTCTACTGTGTTTCCTTCACTTTATGTCCTATCGTTCAATGTGCATGATTTTGATCTTCGCTGGCACGAAGTCCTACTTCTTACAACATCTTTCAACTTCGATGTTCTTATACTTTTGGAAACCGGCGACACTGATCTTTCTTTTTGTGCTCAGGCTTTCTCTAACTTCAGAATTTTCTTTCAAAAAGGTGAAAACAAAAATGACGGTGTTTTGCTTGTGATAAGAAATGGAATTCAAGTCAGTGGTGTCCACTGTGCGCTACCAAATATTTGCGTTGTCGATGCTAAGGTCGAAGAGAAGATTAGAATCTTAGGAGTGTTTGCGCCAGAAAGTCGTTCAGGGAATTGGGAGCAGCTTTCTTCTTTTTTGTTTGAAAATTGTGTGGTATACGGTGATTTCAAGGTCGATTTGGAACAGGATGCAGGGCCGTAAATAGGGAGTCTACTTTCGGGGGGGGTGTAAACAAATTTTAAAGCTTCGCGCAGCGAAAAATTCTTTTGATGGGTGTGCGACCAAAAATAATGAAAAAAAATTTTATTTTCCGCTTGAAGGAAAGTACCAGTTTTTATTTTTGTGGAGGTCCCTGAATACTAGACGCTAATATCCGTTAGTTGCTAGAGCCAATCTAGCATCCTGTGAATGAGGCGTAACAGCTAAGCCCCAATCCTCTCTGCGTCAAACAGGACTGAACTGATACTCGCTACATCCTGAACATCACGAACGTCAAAGCGATCTGACACCGAGGATACTCACGATTGCGATGACATCAACCTTTGATGCTTTTCTCACTTTAGTGCGTTTTTATTTCGAGACCTTGTGAAGTTAACATATTTAACGAAGCTATATATAATGGAAGTCCCTAGATTTCATAAATTTTGTGAAAGAGAGCACCCTGTTTCGATACCCAAAATAGTTAAACAAAAAGATTTCAACTTTGTAACAACAGAAGTGGAAAGGATTTATGTTTCCGTACTCTTTCGTTTGTTGAAATTGCTGTGTACTTACTTTGTATACTTTTTTCAATTTTAGTCCATACATTTTCTTGAGTCAATGAAACAAAATATTGAAAATTTATTAGAACAGTGTACACCCTTGGAAAGCAGAACAGGACTTTGACTGACTATTAATATGCATACTTTTTGCGATGACGAGTGAATTAGACTACATAAAAGTATATGATCAGACCGTACCCCGTAGCAATTCAGACATGTATTTTCTTTTCTGATGTTTGTCTCCCGATTAACTAACTCTTCGTCGCAAAATGTGCATGAATAGAAATTCTGAGTATTATATTCGGTACTACCAGCTCAAAGTCAGATTGTACTATCTGCCTCACTCCGTTAATTGTTAAGATCCACTGCTGCATTTTTCTCGTAATAGTTTGACATTGTGAACATTTCTCTATAGTTTGATGAAAATCGAGGATGTTGTGAACGAAAGACATTTTTGAGAAGGAAACATACAAAGGTATAACTAGTTCTTGCGTATTGAGCAAATGAAGCCTATTATTATATCATACCGAAAGCACCGTGTCCAAGTTCCTCTCCAAGCTCGATATCATCTTTGCTTATTTCCGGTATTTTTTGTTTTTCAATCAGAATTACTGGATGATGTAGTTTATGTTGTTTTGTTGTAATCTTTCACAAATGGGTTTTGGACATGGTTTGAAGAAATGGGTGCTGACGCAGTTGGTGTTATTACATAACTATCTTGATTAGTGACTGTGTAACAAGGTACAGGTTATTCTTTTTCAAGCTATATCTGGTTGATACGTACGATCAGTTAGTTGTGTCTCAGCTTCATCTGGATTCTTCTTTAGTCCATTCGAAGCGCCAGTCCCATGTCTACTACTTTCGAAGAGCTGTGGATTACCCTTTTGCGCTGCTCTTGAAAAAAAAGATGGTGTCTTATTATATTGTAGAATCCTACAGTCCTCTTCAGATCCTAAAAAATCATAAAGTTAGTTATTTTTATTCAGCCGCTTTGTACAACGCGCCTTTTGCCATGACGATTTCCCTATTTTTTAACCTGTCCACGTCAAAATCGTATACTTCGTTTAAATTAATTTGTTTTGTTTAGGTAATAACGAAATCTGTTGGTACAATATCGGCGCCACTATAATCTTCCCAGCGTACGAGGCAATATTCAAGCTTTGTGCTTTCTAAATAACCTATTTTCGACAAGCAGTACTTTACAAAGTTTCGCATACTCAAACGCAACTGATCACTTACCATCTTACGAAATATCGATCTTTCCTAATCTTTCCCTTTCAGTTAAAGGTAAACACTCGTCCGCTATGGATATCAAAACTGGCGGGTGTCAAATGGAGCAACATTCATTTTGTAAGCCCATCTAGTTTTTTCAATGGAAGGCTACACCTTTAATTCATACACCATTAAATCGGCCAGAGACCAGCTTCAGAAGTACGGAGAGCTTTTTTTGAAATTCCTTTTCCTTCCTGAGAAAAACGGCTTTTACTGAAAACCAAAGGGAAACAGCGAGATGATCTTTGGAAAACCAGGCTTTGTGTAATAATTTTCAATAGGATTATATTGATTTTCTTCCATGCTATGATAGCCCAAGGTATCCTCTTCAAAATGAGAGTCAAGTGAGACCTTGGTTTTCCGCGGCTCTGGTGTTGCGTCGGATTTCTTGCGAGTCCCAGAACTGGCACTCGGTGAGTATTGGTAGCCTTGAAAACGGATGGACTGTAGGTAATACAGAACTTTTAACACCGTCGTTAACAGCAAGTTGTACACTGTGATCGAAAGACAACATCTGCGTAAAATCAATTATCATGTATGCTTCACTCTCACTTTATTTATTAAGAATAAGTTCTATTCGAATTACCCCCAAAATCATCACGAAGATTACGCAATTTAGTAATCAACTGTATTATAATTAAAATCCGATAATAATTCTCATACAAATCCTTTTTAAATGTGCTGCTCATTGTGTAATTAGTGTAAACCGCGGTTGTATCTCCAATAACGTAAACGCACAGTTGTTATCTAGAAACGAGGCATGCATTTTAAGTCACTTTTGATTCCTATAGAAATGAGGAGGAAGGTCAACAGAAGAAAAGAAAATATTTCGAGAAAGAAAAGAAAGAAGTTTAATGTTAGTTAGCAGAGAAGAAAAAGCACAAAATTGTGCACAGAAAAGAAAAGTTTTACTACAAGTAAAGCGTAAACTGAAAACAACAATTTAACACGAGAAAAAGGTAAAACAGTTGGACAAATTTTGATTGTATCTAGTGCAAACAATAGGTTATTAAATCGTTTGGAATTGATGGCTACCTCAGTAAATCAGACTAATTCAAAGGAATGTGCAACATGCAAAGAGCTGAAAGAAAAAGGACGTGGCGTGATAATATGTGCCGGATGTTCACAAATGTTTTGCAACAAACACTATTTACAACACCGAGAAATGATAGATAAACAATTCGATCGACTCATAGAACAACATGCGCTTTTTCAACAAGATTTAAATTCGACG